AAATCACTTGACCAAGTGGGCAAGAATTTCAAAAATCTGGTTGTACCTTTTCTTACTACAGCTCTGTACTCTGATTGCCTCTAGATGCCCAGGAGCAGGGAAGATTTTCAAAGAAATATAATTGCATTTTTACTATATAATCAATATACCCCCCCCCCCCCAACTCCTTACCCTTGGGTAATAAATTTCAGAAATTTTGAAAAAGGCACATTAATTTTTGCTCATCATAACCATGCACTTTGTTAATCTGCTATAAAATATCCAGGAACAGAGAAGAAGTTTTTCAAAGAAAAAAATGCATTATCACTATATGACCAATAAAGCCCTCCCCCCCCCTCCAAGAACACCTGACGCTGATGCAAAATGTTTCAAAGAAGGCACCTTTGGTCAGAATAATCTTCAATTACTTTATCTGCTGGTATCCAGGAGCAGAAAAGAAGATTTTCAAAGAAATAATACATTTTCACTATATAATCAAGAGAACCCCCCTTCCCAATACCCCGCACCCTGGGGCAACAAATTGCACAAATTTTGAAAAGACACCTTTGCTCATCACAACCATACAGTTTAGTTTAGTTTTCTTGCTAAATATCCAGATGCAGAGAAGAATTTCAAAGAAATAATACATTTTCACTATATGATCAATAGAGCCCGATCTTAACACCAGAAACCCAGACCCAGGGGCCATGAAATTCACTGATTTTGAAGAGGCACCTGTGCTCATTATAAATATTCACGTACTTGGCTTAATTCCGTAAAGAAGAGGATTTTCAATGAAATTATGCATTTTCACTATATAATCAATAGAGGCCCCCAAACTTCTGACCCCAAGGCCAAACATTTCACAATTTTGGAAGAGGTACCTTTGCTCATCATAACCATGTACATAGTCTATCTGCTAAATATTCAGGGGGCGAGAAGATTTTTAAATAAGTTATGCATTTTTACTGTGAGCCCTACGCTTACTTCGGAACCCCTGATCATGGGGCTATGAATTTCGAAATTTTGGTAGAGGGTTCAATGCTTATTACAATCAAGCAACAGTTTGACTGCTTCATGTCGAGGAGTAAAGAAGGGGGGGGGGCATGAAATTCAGAAATAAAGAAAAAGCTAGAAAGAGTCCGAAAATATCACTTAAAAAAACGTCATCAGAGGTTTTTATACATGTATATCAAAATGAAAGTTGTCTAGCGTTCGCTTCTGCTGTAAAAATTGTTGCCGTTTTGGAAGCCGTGCAGAGAAAGCATTGTTTTTAACCACTGCAACTCCTGCAGTTTTTTCTAGTGTCTTTGGCATTTTCTATATAAATCTCGATTGTAGAATATTTAGGGTGTTTTATTTCAGCTACTTTTTGTTCTAAAATAAGGGAAATCGTTTCAGATGTATTTTCTACTAGTTAGCAAATTTCATGATGGTATTTCAGACCAAAATTTGGGTCTTAAAATGTCCAAAGGTAGTTCAGCATCCCTTACCTGTTTTCTAGACCTTAAACTTAATGGAATTTTAAGCAAAACTGTAAAATTTACATTCACGAGGTATATGCATGACTCCTTTCATAAAAATCATTTAAAAATTTGAATTTTTTCATCTCGTCGAATTTTTTTGTTGTTATATGCTAGGAGTATTAAAAATAGGTTTTAATTAATATTTTCAAAACATACTTTATACATTCACTCAACAGTCCTTGACCAAACCAGAAGTCTCTGACGAGACTGTAGCTCTACTGGTATGTACTTGAAACTCTGCACCAGCAATAAATAGAATAATGATCCTTGATTAAGTCTCTTTTTGTGGCAAGATTTATTGCAATCAGACTAAAACTGTAGGAGGAATAGCCTTTTAAAAGAATTTTACAGATACTTCCATTTTAGTAACCATGGCAACATCATTCAGCAAAATCAAAAACAATAAAGGCAATTATGTATTTCAGTGTAGTCTACTTGTGTGCCAAGTTATACTGAAATCAGACTAAAACGGTAGGTTGAGTAGCGTTTTGAAAGTATTTCAAGAAATTTTCTATTCTTAGTAACCAAGGTAGCACCGTTCATCTAAATCAAAAACCGATATATATTATTATGTATCTAAGTGTAGCCTACTTGTGTGCCAAGTTATATTGAAATCAGACTAAAAGGGTAGGAAGAGTAGCGTTTTGAAAGTATTTCACAGAAATTTCTTTTTTTAGTAATCATGGTAACACCGTTCATTGAAACCAAAAACTGATAAACAGAATTATGTATCTTAGTGTAACTTGTGTGCTAAGTTATATCGATATCAGACCAAAACTGTAAGATGACTAGCGTTTTGAAAAATTGTTTAAAGACGGACGGACACTTTGCTATCGCATAATCTCTTCTGGTCTCTGAACAGTAGAGCTAAAAATGAAGATATAGTTAAAAAGTCAAATAAAAATTTACATTGTTTTTCGCCTGAAAATAGATTTTTTGACCAATATCTCAAAATTTACATCACTAACCCAATTTTTTTCTTCATTATTTTAAATTACACGATACATTCAACCAATTAGCACTTAAGTCATAAAAAGCTTACTATTAGAAGAAATTTCATTGTCTATCTAAATTTTCATAATACCCAAATTTGATATTTTTCAGTTCAAAAAGATCACACAATACTTTTGCATTAATTTGCAGGATTTTTTCAATAATCAATATTTTAAAACTATTTTACATAAAAGATTATATTTGTTGCCATGATTACATTTGGAAAATATGATAAAGATTAAAGTGAGTAACCTAAAATTTAACAATTTAAGTGCAAACAGGTCAAGTTAATTGTACCGTTGCTCGGTAAGATGCAGTAAGATACAGTGCAGGAAACTAATTTTGTTACAGCATCGATGCTGATTAGAATGCTTCCTTTGCTTGCTGATTTGAATGCTTCCTTTGCTTGCTGATTTAATGCTAGTAATCCTTATCCTGATGCTGTTTTATAATTAGGTCAATGCTACGGGAAGTAGCATCATGCTACCGGAAGTAGATAATGAATTTCAGCATTGCCGTTTAAAGCAATAAAAGTGCCCTTTACAATTATTTGATCATAATATCTCACTATGTATCAATAATGTGAATACTTTAACCAATATTCTTTCTTTCTTTTTTAATTTTTTACTGAATTAAAACTCATTGATTTTCTGATGCTAGTAGGATAATGCTGATTTTATGTAGGTCAATGCTGGTTTTATCCTTTGCTTGCTGATGCTGATCCTGGTAATGCTGTTTTTTAAATGCTGATGCTAGCTCGATCCTGATGCTACTAATGCTTATGCTGATGCTGGTTTATGTAACAAAATTAGTTCCCTGCACTGTATCGGTGATCAGTTTTCTTTGCGATTTTTAGTCATGCTATACGATTAGTTATCTAAAATATACATCTCAAAAAATCCTTCATATGACTCATATTACAAGTGTCATACCTTAAAGTTATAACCAATTAAAAAGAAAATATTGCATTTATTTCCAAGAGTTTTGTGAATGTAAACCTTGTTTATTTTAAAAGAACATCGAATGGCTTTATTTCAATTCAAGTCTCTATTGATTGTTTGATGCCTGAGAAAAACAGTTGTGCAAAACGAGTTATTAATTTAGGAAATGTTTAAAAGGCACCATATTAAACATTAAAACAAGATGTGTTTGTGAAACGCCGCCCCGATGGTAACACAATTCTGGAGTGGGACGTAGACTACAGTGCAATAGTTATGGCCAATGTTAAAGTTTTTCAAATGTAGGTCAAAGGTCACAGTTTATGTCACATGATCAAAAAATTCTGTCATAATAAACACTCATGTCAAATATTAAAGCCTTACCCTTGACAGCGCAATAGTTATGGGCTAGGTTAAAGTTGACAACAGACAGACAAACAAACAGGACAAAAACAATATACCCCCGGGATCTTTCGATCCAGGGGCATAATAAGCAAATTTCTATGCATTTCGTGCCTGAAATCCTTCCGCAAGAAAAAATAGTTCCAAAGAAATCTCCTTTAAAATGCATTTGACCTTTTCTCTCTTAATAACGTTATATAACGTTGTATATATACAATATTTTTTGAATATAAAAATAAATATGAAACACACAGTTGAAAGATTAAATCCTTTCACTTTGGAGTCCAAATGTTTAGGAGCGAACTTCGTTAAATGTCGAGATTTTCTGAATCACAACCCATTTTGATATTAAATAGTCTGTGTAAAAAGAGTTAATACAGATCAAGAGAAAAAAAGATGAATATATTAAATATTGCTCAAAGACAGCCAATAACGATATATTACTAGGCATCATATTCCTTAATGAAAAAAGATACAAATCCATACATTGTTGTTTAAGAAATAGAAGAAAACTTTACTGAAATATCAGAAAATTATACAATATTTATTAACTTGTATCTTTATATCGATTAAAATTAATTTATAGTTATTTATTTTTTTGTACCACAAAAAGGTTCAAAGGTTTCATATATTAACCATACTTTAGCAAGAAATTTAGCCATTTTGTTAAAAATTGCCTAAATAAATACATACTGTAAAAGAGGAAACTTTGACGATGTTGGAACGTTGACGAAATTGAGGAACATCTAACAATCGTTAAAGTTTCTACAGGTCAATTTTCAAACTTTTTGTTTAAGAGCACTGTTACATGTAAATACTAAAAGATCGTCAAAGTTGTCACTCGCCATTTTTCTGATATACCGAAATCGTCAAACCTTCAACAGTTCCAGATAACCAATTAAGCAGTATCCTTTCAGTTTTATTTTCGTCCTTCATATTGAATAATAACTAAAAGATCATCAATCTCGTAATCCAATTAAAAATTAGCAAACTTTTACAATGAATAATATGTATCCTTCTTGTAACTATGGTATCAATTTGTTAAAAGTTATAGTACACCTTCCTTTTTTTCCTATTTGTATATTGCAAATAACACATTCTTAGATATATTAAAATTTTGAAGTAAATATCACCTTTTTTTGTGGACATGTTAATGCATTACCTTTTTGTCTTTTTCAGCTTTTTTTGCTGTCCTTCTGGAATATTTCCATTCTGAATTAATTCTGGTTTCCCTTTTTCTGATTCGTTGTTGTTCAAAGTCATCATTAATTTATAATATAGTTTAAGTACTTGTATGTCGTCGATAAATAATTAAATACATTAATCTTGACTAGCAATTCAGAGTCGACATCACTATACGATATATAAATCACGGGACTCTAGTTGAAGTTTTCAATTCTGCATGTACTATGCTGATATTCCCAAAGTGTGAATGAAGATTGCGTATGTGTTTTCGCTTAAATGAAACGTTTGTCATAAATTCTATGTCTACTTTAAAATGGCATCATGCTACTGCATCGCATTTTATTTACCTATACAGCAATAGAAAGTAGACCTCCTTACCAAAAGGTTCAAGAGTTTTTATTATCATTGCTTTGGCGAAATAATTTTGGAGGACAGACAACCTATAGTGTGCGTGAAGAATTATGACAAATCGTTGAGGAAAACTCTACTATAATATCAAGCCTTTTACGACACAAGAGAACTAAATAAAAATTAAAATTGACTTTATTTAAACATATGTTTAAATACGTACGAACAATTTCTAAAACAAGGCAAGCTATTGAGAAATAAGTTGATGAAACAAAAATATCAACAGTCACGTTTAAAGTCAACTTTTGGTAAATTCTATGGCTGATACAACGACCTTATCAGCAAATACAATCTATCATAAAGTCGAATGCTGACTTGTGTTTTCCATAGAAATTGTTCCGGCATTATTTTGAATTCACACTTAATTGTCTACTCTACAGATTGTTTTCATTTTCCCTATCATGAAAAGGAGCATATGGCGGATGTAACCGGTCGACAGGGGATGCTTACTCCTCCATGGCACCTGTTTCCACCTCTGATGATTTTACAGGTCCATGTTTGCTCTGCTCCAAATTTGTATTGTTTCAGTGGACTTTTGAGCTCGATTACTGTTCATTGTCTTTATATTTCACATTAACCTCGGTCAGCAAACAGACTCGCATACTGCGCTTCTTTGCAAGATTTTACTTTTCTTGAAAACAGATCTACTTATGAAATGTTTCAGAACATATTTCGGCGTTTTTTTGTGTGTACGTAGTGTCGGTCTCTTTTGAATTCGCACTATACTGCTCTCGAAGGCCCAAAACAACTTAGGGTATTTGGGTAGGGCAAGACCAATTAAAAACACATATAAAGAAAGAAAAATGATACATGGGAGAGAGAAGTTGTACTGAATAAGAAAAATGTGTCAATTCAAACAGAAAATTATTGACACATACAGAATAATTTAATAAGGCCCCGCCGTCACCAACTTTAAGAAATTATTCAACTACAATACTCATCTCAAATTCTTGAGGTTAACTCAAGTGAGGGAATTCCTCAAACCACCGTCACCGGTCACGGTAGCCTACTTAAAGGGTGTTCGCCCCTTGAATGGGAGGCTTGGGTTCGATTCTCGTTCGCCGCGTAAACATAGATAGTGACTGTTCAATCGCTAAGCGCCCTACACTAAAAGTGAAAATCAAATGAGACCTTAAAACCCAAGGTCCTGTGTCACGGTAGGCGTTGGCACGATAAAGAACCCTCTCTGCTCAAGGACCCTGAGTGCCGAGTATATGTCTAAATTTGAAGCCATTCAGCGGCATACGGTGAGGTCTCTATATGAGTGAAAAATTCTCGAATGCGACGTTAAACAACATACAATAAATCAAACCATCGTCACCAAACCTTCTGAGGGTTTCTTCAGTTTGCAATATGTACAAACAGGTATAACGTGCTACCCACCGTAACCTGTGTAACATCACCTTTTGAAATATCCGGGAAAGAACTACATTGATATTTTTAAACTGCGGGAAAAACACTCTCTATAAATAGCGGTCGATTTATGCTAAGCTGTCTCTCCTAGATAATCTACCTCTGTACACAATGTAATGCGTTTCAACTTTTCACCGAATATCATGGATGAGAAAAAAATCTTTTTTGCAATTTTATCACTATAAATCTGTTCATGTTTTTATAGATTTGCAAATTCTTGATTCGCCTCTGCATCCATAGCAACTTAGCATATGTTTATATTATGACGTCACACAACTCAATTTCTAATTTAAAAAATTACAACTATTTGAAATAACCACAAAAATGCTAAATAGTTGAAAATAAGTCAGTCTTTGTCAGGTCTCGCAGTAAATGAAATGAAGCGGTGTTTTTTTCACTGGCGAGTATGAATAAAAATAAAAATTTTGATGTTCATGTTATTTGTTTCTTAGGATAAAGGTTAGTGTTGGCTTGATGACGCGACCTCTATATATAGAATGGTGTAAAATGTACTCGACTCAGCTGAGACGAGACATGAAACTATTCGTGCCTTTTTCGGAATTTTTTCTACGTTGTGTTTACACAATGAAAAATGTCATCTGATGTAGGAAATATGGCAGAAATTGACAATGAAGCCTTACTGACCAAAAAAAGGGGGAATACTTATACGCTCGTGCGGGTGTGAGTGACTTCCTACATAAAAGAAGTAAGAATTTACATGTATATAAGGATCGATGTCATTTGTTGGCTAGCTGATTTTTTTTTTCATTCCGACATATTTCTGACACTTTTTATACTGATTAATTGCTTTTGCTTAACGCCGAGTCGGCAAAATCTAAGCCATATTCCGGCGATAATATTAGGTAAAAATGATTGGTTTATGATTTCCCTGCTAGCCTCAGTGAGCCCACTCTTTTTCGAAAACAAGAGAAACGATCTTTGCATGCCAAGGATGCTTAAATCTTTGCCATGGGACACTATTTAACGTCCCACCAGACTTAAAATTTAAAAATATGAAAACAAAATATAGAATGTTCTATGTATTAATCAACAGTATTTCTTAAATTACGTATTTTTAAATATTACTTTCAAAATCAGAATCAAATGGATTAAAAACTGTATAAAGAGCACTGCTGTTCTATTTCTATTGTTAATAACCATGGCACCGTTCATCAAAATTCCGATGTAGAAGAACAATGTACTTTAGTGTAGTCTACATGTTAACTATCAAGTCTGTGGGAGGAGTAACAATGTACTTTAGTGTAGTCTACATGTTAACTATCAAGTCTGTGGGAGGAGTATTTCACTAGAAAGTAATACAAGTATACAGTTAAAGTATTTCATTGATGGAGGTGGCAAGATTCTAATTCCCAAAGGACAGGACTATTTCCCGAGGTGAAATACTAGACTTAATTATGACTTGACAACAAATACAAATCTGATACAAGGATTTATGTTTCTTTGTATAGTCTACTTGTGCACCACGTTAACTGAAATCTGACCAAAGGGGTAGTAGTGTTTTGAAAAAATGTCTTAAAAAGACAAAAAACAACAATGCAGAAATATTTGCTTTTCAAAGTATAAAACATTCATTATTTCTGCACATAAAGTTAGAATCAAATGGCGTTTTACCATAAATTATTATTATTTAAAATGCAATTTACATGATGTTATTAGTTGAAATTTTACATGTTGAGTTCTGAAGTTGTAAACGTGACATAAAAGACGCATTAAAGTTTAAATTTCAACTTGACAAGTTTGACTAAGTATGGTAATAAATCCAATCTGACAATGTATAGTTATCTGCTTTCTCGGTTGGGGGACATTTATGTAACATTCATCTGATGTTTTAATAAACCAGAAATGGCACTGATCGTGCTTAGAAAAACATGATCTTCATAAAACTTTAATTTATGCTACCATCTTCATGGAATCTCTAAATGGCTTCGGTGAAAAAAAAAATATATATTTTAATGCCAATCAGCCGATTCGAGGCCCCTTAATTGTTTACTCCATATAAATGCCATAAATGTTGTAAAAGTTTATTTTAAGAACTCTTACTTATCTAAATACAACAGAAGTATCACAACAATAAATAAAAGTGTTGGACGACATATATATGGTAAGATATACGACCGCTCATACAAATTTCTTTAGACACGATTCAAATTATCTTAACAAGCAATAATTTAAGATTTGGTAAATGTCCTTATTTTGTCTTGCCAGCTGTGTACTCATAAAAGAGTATTCTCCCTCTAGGCTGTCACCGAGTTTCTGAAAGGGATACCTCCTCCCTCCCTTAGACCAAAAATAGCTTTTTTTGAACTTCTGTTGAACTCTGGATTTTTTTTCCTTCAACTTTTCAATTAAACAAAGTCTAGAAGCATTAATTTACGCATATCCGCTCCTCAACCAAGAACACTAACTCATTATTATTCAGTTGAATAAATCGCAAAATTAAGACATTAAGCTTGAAATTTGATTTTTTTTTCGTGCACCAATGTTCATTTTACGCATATTAATTTGATTCAAGGTTCATTGAAGTCTTAGAAGTGGATTTTTAAAAAGTGGGAAAAGTACAGAATTGAATTTCCTTGGAATTAGTAGGAATTTAGGAAAAATTGAATGTTGATTGCACACCTCGAGTTTCTAAATATAATTTCTGTAAAGTTTCATCAAGATTGTCCAAGTCACCTCTGAGAACATATGTGAGCATAATACCTTTTTCTGTTTTGTTTCTATGGTAACTGTGTGCGGCCAATTCCACGTTTTTTTTTTTAAATAGAAATCACTTTGACAATGCAAGGAATCATCCATTAAAGTTTCAAACTGATTGCTTGAGCATTTGCTGATAAAATCGAAGTTAAAGACTATTCCTCTGTTTCCATGGCAAAAATTGACAATTTGAGAATTTTAAATGCGATTCGCACAACTACAATTACTGATCATCATTTCTGTAAAGTTTCATGATGAATGTTCAAGGGACCAAAGAGAACACTCCCGGACAAAATTCCTCACTTTTCGCACGTTTCCATGGTAACGGTAGCCATTTTGAAACTGACAGTCTGCACTGCACAGGTACAACTAGTGATCGTCTTTTTCGGAAAGTTTCAGGAAGATTGTCCCAGCCATCTGCGAGAACATCCCCGGACGATGTTTTTAGGCGTACAGTAGCAATATGTCGCCCGACTTCGTTCGGGGCGACATGATTATTTCAAGTTGAAGTCCACACTTATATTTCTTACAAATATACATTAACAATTGCTTTTAAACCTTTTAATTAAAAAAACCTTTACATGTAGTGCCTATATATCGATCATCTGAATCATAATCGTCCAGTGTGTTCATGTTCTTCTTCACCCAAGAACTATAATCCTCCTGGACACCTCATTA